GGGGTATGATAGGCTCAGAGTTGGTGGGAGTCAGGGTGCAGGAGGGGGTATGGGCTCTGGAGTGGGAGTCGGGGTGCAGGAGGGGGTATGGGCTCTGGGGTGGGAGTCGGGGTGCAGGAGGGGGTATGGGCTCTGGGGTGGGAGTCAGGGTGCAGGAGGGGCTACGGGCTCTGGGTCTGGGATGAAGAACAGCGAGGACGGGCCCTTTTCCCCCTCGTCATGGCAGCTAAATGCAAATGTGCTAACGAGCCGCCTTCCAGTTTTGCATATAATTTGCATGTGCCGAGAGCTGCCGCGTCCTGCCCCGAGCAGCGGGGCAGGAGGAAAAGTCATGGGGCTGCTCGTCACCGTGGGTCCCTTTCTCGTTGCAAGGATCACCGTGGTCACGTGGAACGTCGGCACCGCCATGCCCCCGAGCGACGTGACCTCCCTGCTGCACCTCGAGCTGCCGCGTCCTGCCCCGAGCAGCGGGGCAGGAGGAAAAGTCATGGGGCTGCTCGTCACCGTGGGTCCCTTTCTCGTTGCAAGGATCACCGTGGTCACGTGGAACGTCGGCACCGCCATGCCCCCGAGCGACGTGACCTCCCTGCTGCACCTCAACACGGGCGACACGAACGAGACCGACATGATCGCCATAGGGTAAGGGGCTCGTGGGCCGAGAGACCCTCTTGGCCCCTCTGTGCGCTGCCCTCCAGGATGTGGGTCCCCGGGATCTGCTGTCCCCCAAAGAAATTGTCCTCTAAGCAGAAAGATCCAGGTTCGAGCCAGAGCTGGGAACAGCCTTGAGATGGTGGCAGCGGTGGGATATTCAGAAAAGACCCGCACGCTTCCTACCCGTCGCAGGATTGGCACCGCTTTTGAGAGCACCCCCCCTCCTCGCTTCTCTCCACCCGCTCCATGTCTCTTCCCGGATCCCGGCCTGATCCGCTAGGAATCCTCCAGCCGGGACGGGCAAAGCCGAGCGCCCAAATCTCCTCGAACATCTGTGGGATTTGGGTGCCCGACTCTCCTTGGCTCTTCTTTGCCAGTCCCGCCTTCCCCACTGCCCTTCTCGCTTTTGAGAGCACCCCCCCTCCTCGCTTCTCTCCACCCGCTCCATGTCTCTTCCCGGATCCCGGCCTGATCCGCTAGGAATCCTCCAGCCGGGACGGGCAAAGCCGAGCGCCCAAATCTCCTCGAACATCTGTGGGATTTGGGTGCCCGACTCTCCTTGGCTCTTCTTTGCCAGTCCCGCCTTCCCCACTGCCCTTCTCCACCTGCCATGCCGCGGGTGGGGTGGCAGAGTTGCCCGGGGTCCCCTAGCAGAAAAGATCTCCCAAAAGGGGGAGCCCCGGCCTGCGATCAGCCCCCCGTGTCTCCCCTCTCAGGCTGCAGGAGGTAAACTCCATGATCAACAAGCGTCTGAAGGATGCCCTCTTCACGGACCAGTGGAGCGAACTCTTCATGGACGTGCTGAGCCCCTTTCACTTCGTGCTGGTAAGGGGGGGGGGACGGGGTGAGGGCTGCCCCCCAAATAAATTGTCCTCTAGCCCCCGTGGGGATTGTAGGGGGCTGAGAATCTAGTCGTACCCCTGCTAGTTGGGGTAACTTCTTTGCCGTTTGGGGGGGGGTGAGGTCCTCCCCGCAACATGAGACCGGGAGGCCCCAAGCAAAGTGAAAACGTTTGTACTGGGAGGCCCAGCGTGGGCGGGGCTGCATCAGGCTCCACCCCCGTCCGACCAGGAGGTCTTCTCTGACCCCCGCGGGGGCCCCTCTCCTGAAGCAGAAAGCGCCCGGTTTGAGCCAGAGCGGGGAACAGCCTTGACATGGTGGCAGCGGTGGGATATTCAGAAAAGGCCAGCCCTGCTCCCTACCCATCACCAAAGCTGGCCAGCAGGACCTGCCTGTCTGTGCTTGCTGCCTCAGTTTCCCTCCTGGCACCACAGAGCAGACACACCCCGCCCCATGTTTGTAGGGGGCTGAGAATCTAGTCGTACCCCTGCTAGTTGGGGTAACTTCTTTGCCGTTTGGGGGGGGTGAGGTCCTCCCCGCAACATGAGACAGGGAAGCGAAAACGCTTCCACTGGGAGGCTCAGGGTGGGCGGGGCTGCCTTAGGCTCCGCCCCGTCCTCCCAGGAGGTCTTCTCTGACCCCCGCGGGGGCCCCTCTCCTGAAGCAGAAAGCGCCCGGTTTGAGCCAGAGCGGGGAACAGCCTTGACATGGTGGCAGCGGTGGGATATTCAGAAAAGGCCAGCCCTGCTCCCTACCCATCACCAAAGCTGGCCGTGCTCGCTGCCTCAGTTTCCCTCCTCATGCCTTTCCCTCCCCTGCGACAGGTGAGCACGGTGCGGATGCAGGGCGTGATCCTGCTGGTGTTTGCCAAATACTATCACCTCCCCTTCCTGCAGGACATCCAGACGGATTGCACCCGGACCGGGCTGGGCGGTTATTGGGTGAGACGCACGTGCAGTGCCCACTGGGACGTGGGGGGCACGTGGGGGGGGGGCCCCCAAGGCCCCCCTCCAGGCTCCGGAGGCCAGAAGGCCGCTGGGACCAGTCCCACCGCCCTCCCGCTGGCTGATCCCAGCTCTCCAGGCGGGCGGGGGAGGGGATATGACTTGGGGGGCACTGACCCATTTTGGGGTCCCTCTCGGACAGGGCAACAAGGGCGGGGTGAGCGTGCGGCTGTCCGTCTTCGGCCACATGCTCTGCTTCCTCAACTGCCACCTGCCGGCCCACCTGGAGAAGGCGGAGCAACGGAAAGACGATTTCACCACCATCCTCCACATGCAGCAGTGCCAGCAGCAGCTGGAGGGGCAGGCGGCCAGTGGTATCCTGGACCACGAGTACGGAGCCGGGGGGTTGGGGCGGCTCGTTTCCCAGCAGCCCTCGGGGCCGGAAAAGCCCGAGGGCCCTCGGGG